CAAAACAGTAATACCAACAATAAAGAAACGGAAGAAATAACGTAGACAAAACAGTATTACCAACAGTAAAGAAACAGATGGAAAAAATAACGTAGACAAAACAGTACTACCAACAACAAAGAAACCGGTGGACGAAACGATGTAGACCAAACAATACTACCAACAACAAAGAAACTGGTGGAAGTAAAAATGTAGACCAAACATTACTACCAACAACAAAGAAACCGGTGGACGAAACGATGTAGACCAAACAGTACTACCAACAACAAAGAAACCGGTGGAAGAAACAACGTAGACAAAACAGTACTACCAACAACAAAGAAACCGGTGAAAGAAACAACGTGGACCAAACAGTACTACCAACAACAAAGAAACCGGTGGAAGAAACAACATAGACAAAACAGTACTATCAACAACAAAGAAACCGGTGGAAGAAACCATGTAGACCAAACAGTACTACCAACAACAAAGAAACCGGTGGAAGAAACCATGTAGACCAAACAGTACTACTGAAGTCTTCAGTTACTGTCAGCACAAGCTAGGAAAGTTTCACCAACCACTATAACCTAGGAGGGTTATGTACTTTGAGCACCCTTAAAAGAGTTTTTGAGGACGAGAGGCCCCCCCCCCCCCCGCCCCTTTTTTCCCTCCCCCTATTAATATTGTTAATTGTTATTATTATTATAATTGGTAGCAACAGTAGCAGTAGTAGCAGTTGTGGTTGTTGCTGTTGTTGTTGTAAACACTTTAAAAAGTTATAAACCCAATGAGGCCCCCACCCTAGAAAATATGAAGATGACGCAGCATCCCTTGCCACAAAGTTACCTTTGTACAGGCGCCACTGTCATGTGTAGAGAGCAAGCTAGATCCTAAGATAACCAAATGAAAGCAGACACGTGCAAGGTAGAAACTCCGAACCCGGCACGCGAAAGTGAGTGCTTGTTTGGCCTTCTCACCGCAGGAACTTATAACATGTATGATGGCAGGAGGAATAACTGTCTTCTCTAGTTACAGCTTTCAGAAAGATACCTCGGCCGTATTTACTCGGGAAGGGACGGAGGTAGGGGGGATAAGAGTCTAAAAGCATCCATGTTATTAACGCAAGAAAGATAAGTCTAGAGCCAGGCACATTTCAGTGAGTTGTCCCCTGATGTGGAAGCTTCTCACTGACGTTAGATTTATAGCTATCGCAAAGGTGTATACAGCTTTATAAATGTAAGTTATGTTGTAAAGATGAAACCCCCTGCGGTTGGCTTTGGGGATGTTTAGATCATCAAAGAAGGCCACATTGACAGTAACACAGGGGAGGTAAGGAAAAACTTCCTTCCGTGTTTGGAAAACCTGACCGTAACGATTTAAAAAAAGAAAAAAAAAAGAAACGGTTGTAGCGTTCAGCCGTGTCCAGTAAAGGAGGGAATTTAACAATGAAGTTTATCGTTTTGGAACTAGTGAACTTTTAAAAAGTGTACTTTTGATAAAGAAAGAAGGTCTTTCCCAGAAGAATGGCCCTTCTGATAACTACGTCTAGCAACTGACGCGAAGGATTGATCAAGGAGGACAGACACACTCATTAATTCATCTAAGAGTTAAATATTTAATACTATTATATAGTAAGCTAGCTAGATTCGTGCACGAGGTGAGACATGATTCGACTGCAAAGACTGTACTTCAAGAAACATTGGGGGAGGGGGGATAGTAGAAGAAGAGGAAGGCAAAGAAGAATCTGAAATGACAACATCAAGAAATGGACAGGACTAAGTTACTGTACACTTATTCATCAAGCAGAAGACAGAGAAAGATGGCACGTTTTATGTGCTAGTGCTTCCATCAATAAACCTCCACGACCCTAAAGGGTCAAGGGTTATGTTATGTTTTGTTATTATTATGGTCTATACAACGTATTAGTACATATAGTCCCCTGTTCTTAAATGGTATTATTTACTCACCAATAGTAATAATAGTAAATTATATATTGGGGGGAGGGGAGGGATGTCAGGTTAAGCTGTTTTCAGCTCAACATATTAGTGAATTTACTGTTTTCAGCTCAACATATTAGTGAATTTACTGTTTTCAGCTCAACATATTAGTGAATTTACTGTTTTCAGCTCAACATATTAGTGAATTTACTGTTTTCAGCTCAAGATATTATGGTCACTCTAAATTCAGGACCAGGTGGACGAGTACAAAGAGAATAGCAGCAATCATATTCTAGACAGTGTCTGCCTTGGTTAACATAAGCTTCTGGTTAGCTGTTCCGGAACTCTTGTTATGGTCTCAGTCTCTCGTCGCTATTGTACGGATCATATTGTCTGAACCACTCATCTGACAATCGACTATTTACAAATGCTATCTTATAATATTCATAACTTATCGAACAATAAAAGAATACAAACTAACGCCCCACCAGCAAGCTCAACAAACGAGACCCAATCACACACAAAACACACACACACGCACCCACGCACGCACGCACAGACAGAAAGACAGATAGACAGACAGACAGACAGACAGGCAGGCAGGCTGGCTGGCTGGCTGGCTGGCTGGCTGGCTGGCTGGCTGGCTGGCTGGCTGGCTGGCTGGCTGGCAGGCAGGCAGGCAGGCAGGCAGGCAGGCAGACAGACAGACAAACAGACAGACAGACAGACAGACAGACAGACAGACAGACAGACAGACAGACAGACAGACATACATACATACATACATACATACATACATACATACATACATACATACATACATACATACAAACACACGTAGAGGCGAACGACGTGACAACAGTTGTTTCAGTTAATGAATCTGCAATGATTCTCATCATCATTAAGCGCCTTACCAGCTGGGGTAGGCATTCATTCACAGGGGGGTCTGACCGACCCTCCCCCCTCACCCCCCTGGCCCCACCCCTAAAAATGGCTGTATAGGGCGCTACAGGTACATAAGCCTTAAGTTTCTGACATCTCTGCATCATCTGTCGTAGAACTCCTATCACATATTTTACCCAGCAACCCGGAGCTTCTATGCCAGAATCGTAGAGCAGACGCCAGAAAGAAATCTGGCAGCTGGTTGTCAAGGTAAAGACACAGACTCCTGTAACAAAACACTGCCTATTAGAACTGTGCACTTGCTCTGGATTGTTGACCTCACTACATCAAAAGTAAAGCCAGTGCTAATGGAGAGAGATACTGCTGTTTAAGTGTGCAGTGCTTTTTCACATGTTCTAGATTAGGAATTAATGAATTCAGATGGACAGTCATTCTTCTTCTTTATCATGTTTCATTCATTTCTGGACTTTTATCTTTTTCCATAACCGGAGTTTTGCGAGCACTTTTATTTAAAATTGCCGGCTTATTTGTCTGCAGACTTTTGGTTCCTCGTCTCTTAAACAGATGCACTCCGACTTCGAAAGAAACATCCCTACATGGTCGACTTTTGAGGCGGGCTTGTCAGGGGATCAGTAGACTTATCACCCCCCCCCCCCCCCAACGACCCCAACAATGGGGCCCGAAACTAACACAATGCATGGTCAGTAAATACCCTTGCTGTCTGTCTTTCCGAAACAATTAATAACCGCCCCAGCCGTCAGGGCCAAATATGGCTACATCCGCGATCACCGCATCTGTATTTATTCTATTTAAAACATAATAGCTCTTACGAGCAGGCATTTCTGAAAATTGCCTGCTAAACCCTCCTTTCCCCCTCCCCCCCCCCCCCAACTTTTTGTTTTTTGTGTTGTCTTTCCTCTTCTAAAGTTAGATCAAATCTAACCGTATATATCAGTATTACAAATATAATAGAAGCCTTTCATTACTAACAATCTGTGACAGAAGAGGTCTACATTTCTTGCGTCCCATACTAGATTTTGTGTATCACTATCTCTTGCAGTCGAATCTCAACCATCATGCAATGAACTCTTACCTATTTCTCGTTTGATCAGACAATAAAGGTAAAGTCGGGAGTTGTGAACCAGCGTCGCTGCACACGGTTATAAACCATAAGTACTTTGCCATCAGTCGGGATAGCTGATAAGAAATTGTCCGCCTGTGTCACCGCCCGCACGCAACTCCATGGCGAAAGGAACGTTCCTCTATTTACCCCATAGTGTCAACTCTGGTACCCATTTACTAGAGGCTGGGTGAACCCCGGGAACCGCCCGGTTTCGATCACCGGTCGTTTGCTACAGTGAGTCGCAGCTGGATTTGAAAGCGAGTCTAATTTCGACTGCGCTAACGCGGCCCTCTAGGGCAGAGAATATTTACTAAATCTGGCTTCATCTGCTACTTCCTCCGTATATTTATCTTCTTTGACAAAGGTTTTATAATGAGAACACCGTATGTTATATAGATCATCTCTCTTGTAACGCTGACTAGCCACTTGCCTAGAGCATTGCACAAAGCATGAAGTTCATAGCACCAACATAGAATCTCGCGGATCTTGTGAATGGAACGAGACAGTCAACAAAACACACATACTACACACAAACACACCACACACATAATACTCACACAGGAGCGCACAAACACAAGGAACCAAGGCACACAAGGAACCAGTGTTGTCAGAAAACGACGCGAGCGGATACACACACACAAAAAGTCCACGGAAACTACGTACTATCTTCTTGACAAGTAATGGTCATAATTTGTCAATTGTGAATATGTCGCTAAACTTCTAGAAATACAAGAGAAAGTGATAACTAGAACATAGTAAAAGTAAGTTGAATAAAGAACTCTTTTGCTCGCCTTCATGCGTGCTGGTCATATAGGGTTACACCTATATTATACGGATCAAACGGTACTCGATGGACCCCTTTACTTCCCATGACTTTACCTGATACCCATGTAAGGCTGGGTCGACCAGGGAGCCAAGATCATTCTGGAAAGTCAAGACCTGAATCCACGAAACTAGAAAATAGTGCATCTGTACAACAGCACGAAGGTGAACGACACAGATACCTACCTGTACTCACCAACAGCACAAAAGTGAACATCACAGATACCTGTACTCACCACTGTACTGTTTCTCCGTTATCTTGAACTCGGAACCCTGAGGAAAACAAAACACAGTAATTAATAAGTGTGTTTAGTAAAGTCACAGTCAGGAGGATCAACTTCCTGGCACTAGGATTTACTTCATATGGCTCAGTCTCACTCTGTAGAATGATGACTTGCCGACTGTCGATAGTGTAGCACAAATCACGAACTCCGTAGATTGTTCTATGTGGATGAGTTAGAATACTGTTAAGTAAACTAAAAAAAATAATAACTACCTGTGAAATGGGAGGTATACGTAAGGTCACTAAGACCAAAAAAAAAGGGCAACAAAGTTAAAAATACCAGCATTCGAGAAGAAGTTAAAATAAGACCATCTTTAAATTATACTGACAAACAAGGGATGAAACGGTTCGGCCATTTACTGAGAATGCAGCCAGACCAAATTGCACATGAGACTTTTATTTTATAGATCGGAACATATGGGAGAAAGGCGAGAGAAAACCCAAGAAAGAGATGGGTACAAATTCCGACAACTAGGTAATGAGACTAATTTCATAAAAATTAAAGTAATCAACAGTTCAAAATGTAACCTGTATTTTATTCAAAGTCAGCCTCTTGTGCATTGATACAGCGAGTGAAACGATCTAGCAAACACTGAAACGACCTCTGTAATTCTAATGTTCTTTTTGTGCCTAAAGTCGATGTTACGACACTTTGGATGTCATAAGTATTTGCAAAAGGGTGGAACTCGGAGAATCCTTTTCAATAGACATTTTAAAATACTAAAATAAATTGTGGCTCTGACTGTCTGTCCCTCTGGAATACATTCTTTGTGAATAACTCCTCTGCTGTCGTAGAAGCATAAAAACATTGTCTTCACTTTAGACTTTTGAAGACAGATTTTTTTTAGCCTTTTGGCGATGATGACTTTCACTGAGCACTTTGGCTATTCGTTGTGGGATCATTGGGGGAATCCATGTTTTACACTCTGAAACAATCAAATTGAGGCAATTTTAATTTCTGTGTCACGTTTTGATGATTTTTGCAAACACTGATGTTTTTGGTCATCAGATACCGAATATGATACAAACCTGCCAGCAACTTTTTTTTTCTTGCCCAAAGCTTCCACTAAAATGATAGAAATAGTCTCTCTATTACCACCAAATCTGCCGTCATCCTCACAGTCAAACAACGATCTTCTTGTATCCGTTCTCCTTCCTTATTACGAACAGACATTGGCGTCCAGGTCTAGTTGCATTAGTAATCGTTTCCACGCCACTTTTTGAATCAGGAATACCACCTGAAAATCTTTGCACGAGATAAACAATTATCCCCATAAACTTGTCGAATCAATTCAGCTGTCCCAGTGGCGCTTCATCTGAGTTTTAAACAGAATTTAATGTTAGCTTTTTGCTCCATGCTGATTACGTAACAATGCCCCTCTGACTAGGTCAACAAAATGAGGGGCTTGTTTGTTGTCTGCTGATCAGGCAGAGATGAAAAGTTGCCAGATCATATATGAAGGTTGCCTCTTGGTATTTCATGGTTTGCTTCAAATATGAAATTTTTGTCTTGGCCATAATAAAATCAATCTCATTGCTTAATTGTCGGACCCTGTAGATGGCGTAACCGAAACCTGCACAAAGGCCACCCGAGAAGCGCCAGACTAATACAGGAAACCATGACACTGAGCTACAACCTGGTATCAGTGAGACGACAAAACCATGACACTGAGCTACAACCTGGTATCAGTGAGACGACAAAACCATGACACTGAGCTACAACCTGGTATCAGTGAGACGACAAAACCGTGACACTGAGCTACAACCTGGTATCAGTGAGACGACAAAACCATGACACTGAGCTACAACCTGGTGTCAGTGAGACGACAAAACCGTGACACTGAGCTACAACCTGGTATCAGTGAGACGACAAAACCATGACACTGAGCTACAACCTGGTATCAGTGAGACGACAAAACCATGACACTGAGCTACAACCTGGTATCAGTGAGACGACAAAACCATGACACTGAGCTACAACCTGGTATCAGTGAGACGACAAAACCGTGACACTGAGCTACAACCTGGTATCAGTGAGACGACAAAACCATGACACTGAGCTACAACCTGGTATCAGTGAGACGACAAAACCATGACACTGAGCTACAACCTGGTATCAGTGAGACGACAAAACCATGACACTGAGCTACAACCTGGTGTCAGTGAGACGACAAAACCATGACACTGAGCTACAACCTGGTGTCAGTGAGACGACAAAACCATGACACTGAGCTACAACCTGGTATCAGTGAGACGACAAAACCATGACACTGAGCTACAACCTGGTATCAGTGAGACGACAAAACCATGACACTGAGCTACAACCTGGTATCAGTGAGACGACAAAACCACGACACTGAGCTACAACCTGGTATCAGTGAGACGACAAAACCATGACACTGAGCTACAACCTGGTATCAGTGAGACGACAAAACCATGACACTGAGCTACAACCTGGTATCAGTGAGACGACAAAACCATTACACTGAGCTACAACCTGGTATAAGTGAGACGACAAAACCATGACACTGAGCTACAACCTGGTATCAGTGAGAGAAAAAAAAGGAAGATACTTAAAACTGAGGAGCAGCTGTCCGAAAAGTCAGAAGGCTGTCAAGCGAGAGACCCAGATTCGAATCCTCGGTGAGGTTGGGGATAATTTTGTCGGGGGCAAAAATCAAAATAAAATGTTTTAATTTTTATTCGTTAGGCAGTGGGTTAAGGGAGACTGGATGCTAGTAGTTACGCTTTTTATAAAAGTGGTTGTGTTAGCCTGAAAGACTCAGATGTCGCAGTCAAGCTATTAACCACAACATAATCTGCTAATCTCAAAAGAAGTAGTAGTGGTTTCTACATACATTTCTGTTCGCGTCACGATCACTCAAGGCCCTATTTGAAACATCAGGAGTCATGAATGAACGTCCCGATTGGGTGGAGGGGGGGGGGAGGGGTTGAGTTGAGTTGAGTTGATTCAGGAGCCGACATCACGGCACTCAGGGCATTCCCATAACCGCTCTGTCCCCATCTTCAGCAGCCAATGAAAAGTTCCAATACTAATCGTGCCAGTAGTATTCTGATTAAACGTCTGTCACGCCTTACCTCTGAGCTTGGAGCATCTGCCGGAACCTCTCGTTACTTCCCCCTGCATCAATCTCACCGTGTCTCAGTGAAAAACTCCAGACAATACACCTCACCCGTGTCCTCCGAAGTGAAGCATGCCACTCTGCACGAAGCATGCCTGTCCTGAGCTTCCTCAGCATGCTTTCTGAGTCAGTGTGTGTGTGTGTATATATATGTGTGTGTGTGTGTGTCGTGCTCTCTAACAAGCGGGAAGCTGCAGTGACCACCTCCACCTGTTGTTGTTATAATTAGGGCTGTACCGAATAGTGATTTTCACTATTCGACCGAATACGAATAGCTGGACCAACTATTCGGCCGAATACGAATACAAATAGTGAATCATCATCATCATGTGCTTTGCCGGCTGGCATGGGCGATTATGCCTCGCCACAATCTGCGATCTCCTGCAGCACGTATTAGTTCGTGTGCTGACACACCTCCATGAAAAACATTCGTTCCATGTTGTCAGCATTAGGCCAGCTTTTTGTCTCACTGACGGTATTTCCAGCTGTACTAAACAGGAAAATACAACAAATACAGAGAGTCAAAATGAAAACCCACAAGGCGAAACATCAAAAACAAAAATAACGCCGACGAAGAAAACAATGCCGTCCTTACAAGTCGCCCAGCCCCCCGCGAGCTCACGAAACCAGACGCCGGGCGGCCAACGCCAGAAGATCAAACAACAAAGACAATCAAGAAACCGAACGTCGATCAAAACATGTGGCCGCTGCCGTTTCCACGAGACGACGAAAGAACAGATACGACACCCATAAATGATGACGAACTCCCGTTACTTCAAAGAATCAACGAAGAGGATTCCACTCAAAGAAATCAAGCCGACAGCACTAGAACACTTGCTTTTCTGCCCCTCTTACATTTTTAAGTGTTGCATTTTGTTTCTACAGCAACACACCTAAAAACACTATACTCGCAACACATGCAAGATGGAAATAAAGGAGCACTTGGTACGCTCGTAGGTGGTGCACAAAGATAACGCTTCACAGTATAAACCAAGGTGGGAAGTCTTGATGTTTTTTTTTCCACCAGTCCAGAAACGGTTGTGAGGTAACCACTATTCGTATTCGGCCCGACCGCAACTATTCGGCCGAATACCGAACAGTTATTGGGTCCACTATTCGGCCCCGAAGCGAATACGAAGCGAATATTCAGTGCAGCCCTAGTTATAATATCATATGCTAGGTTCGCCTGCACCAAACGTCGACCATTAACTTTTTGCTAAGAAAGTCCAAGAATTTCATTTGCCTCTTGACACTAAACCGTCTGTGTAAATAATCAAATCCTCTGAGCGAACATTATCTTGAATTAATTGCTGAATTTCCACCTCCGTGGCACCTGCTGGCCAGTATGGGGAAGGGGGAATGAACTTCCCAACTGGGGAGAGGGGGGGGGGGGGGGGGGGAGAGAGGAGGGAATCATGAACGAACTTCCCAATGTGAGTTCAGAGGTCTCACTGTGGGGGAAACAAGAAGAGCCTTCTGTCACTCCAATAAGCATGTCTTTCGAAGTCGGAGTACATCTGCATGAGAAGCAAGGAACCAACAGTCTGCATACAAACACAATAGATTATCCCCCCCCCCCTTTTCCATCTCACCCCACCCCGCCTTTTACCACAATTGCACTCTTTAGGATTAACAGCTCATGGATGAGAATCAAACATACGCAAATCCCAGAAACCATGTTAAACCCTTAAACACAGTTACACTGGGTGCTTCTGACGTTGTACGAGATAGCCTGTAGTTCATTGGGGGTACATATGAAACGTATTGCAGCATTTCTGTTGATGGTTACAAACGTGAGCTGCAGATGGCGCACTTCAAAGTCACATTTTTTTCCGTTGCTTCAGTCC